AGTCCATTATGACCTTTATATTAGATATCCGGGGTCCTATTACATACGACACTGTGTCTTAATATTACAGTTACAGCTAACATCTTTACATATTATATCAAATCACGTGCTTTGCCTGATCCTAAAATACACATTTTTTGTTTATAATCTCAGATAACAAGGGGCAAATATTCGTGCAAAATTTCGCAACAGACCATGTCAAAAGATATAATTCAGAATTTCTTTGTGACGTGAAGGACAATTTTATTGCTTATTTTTTATTATTTGACGTGAGGAAGGTCATTGTAAAGGTAGTAAACCAAGGTATTGCACAAATCTCGTCACTATTCACTAATAAAGCTGAATATCACAGTACACTGCCAACAGCCTTATCAGTTACTCAGCTATACGAATTTATAACTATTTAATTATTTTCATTCAAAGGTAAGCGACTTCTTCCCAATTTTTACTTTCACAGTTTAGCAATTGGGAACGAAATATTTTGATTTGATGGACCTATTGTTATATACTCGGTCTTTTTTACAGCATTATGGAGACAGACATAGAATCTGTTATTCATTCACTAACCTTCAATATTTTTTTTTGTAGGGAGCTTAATATGCCAATTTTTAATGAATTTAATGCTTCTTTTGACACTTGATCGAAGCGGAACTTTTATATTTTCATACATTAAGAATATAGAAATGACAATGCATATTTTCGTTCATGTATTTGAACATTTGTACCGATTTTTTAATTTAATAAGCGTGACTTTCATTTCACAAAAAAATAGCTTCTTTAATAAAATTTTGTCAGTTAATTTAAAAATAGTAAGCGAATATTTGAATATACCGATTTTGATGAACTTAGAGGCTTTCAGCCTGATCTTTATTCCTAGCACAATTCGTCTAAGATAATGACATGATGGTATCTTTAAATTGCTCCTAGATGATATGAGTAGCTGACTATTTTTTAATGAGTTGAACTGAAGGGTGGAATATCTCTGTTTTTTCATATACACAGTGAAATTCGATAAACCGGATCTATCGGTTCCACTAAAAATATCCGGTTTATCGGGATATCTGGTATATCGAAAAAACTGAAAATCTATTATACGAATTTTCAAAAATTTTCATGCTAATAAAACTAGTAATTTAATTTTTTTATCTTAGTTTTAAGTCATAGAGTTCATGAAAATGAATATAAAATATTTTTAATTGAAGATATAAGTAATACATAACTACCACCGGAATTAAGACTTTATAATTCTGGCCAAAATTAAGATTTACCGCATCATGTTACTTAAATTTTATTGGTTAATGATCATGTGATCTGGTTTATCGAATCATTTTTACTATAGTTGATTAGAAAATTGATCCGTTATAGTGAATATTGAGCTTTTACTAGTAAACTCCGGTATATCGAAACTATTTTAATATACGTGATTTGGTTCCAGCAAAAAAGTCCGGTTTAGGCCCAAATCTGGTTTATCGAAGATCCGGTTTATCGAATTTCACTGTGTAGTACGCTGTGGTCTGAAACACCTGAAGTTTTTGACTACCTAGGGATGAAGTTGTAGGGTACTCCTGCCCGATAGGCTAGCCTCCTCTGACCTAAGGTCTCATTAATCGGGAGACAAGATGATTCCTAAGTACTTTCACATCACGGATATCTTTGTAAAATCACACGTTGAAGTACTGTGAAACTTGTTACTGTGGTCGATAGTTATTATCTAGTAACAGAAATTTCAAAGACAAAAGGAGCAATTATCGCCTTTATTAGTGGTGAAAATGTAGTTTTATCAAGTAGTCCTACGCCATATTTATATTTGGTAGAGTTGGCTAATTTGCAATGGCAATATACGAAATTTCTCAAAAATCAGAAACAAACGCAATCGATTTTCACTACCAGCATATTTTGTGATCAGAAATGAATTGTGTATCTACTGATTTTGATGACGAAACTTCATTAGCAGCAAGTAAATTTTCGAATTTTGGCCATTTGAGTGGTTGCATTAATTATTGATTAACGTACGCCTTATTAAATTTTGTAGAATTGCTAATTTGTAACGAATTGCACAAGTTTTCTCAAATTCAGAAACAAACGCATACCGACTTATTACAATCCTACAGACATAAATTTGATTGCGGTAAGTAAATTTTCAACCTGATCTTCATTTTAATTAAAATATGGTCTTCAAACAGCTTTCAACAATCGGAATTTCAACTTATGATGAACCTGAAAATGTAGTCTTTAGCAAGTTTTGAGCTGTTGTGTTAATTTATTGATTAACGTATGCCTTATTAAATTTTGTAGAATTGCTAATTTGTAACGAATTGCACAAGTTTTCTCAAATTCAGAAATGAACGCGTACTGACTTATTACAATCCTACAGACATAAATTTGATTGCAGTAAGTAAATTTTCAACCTGATCTTCATTTTAATTAAAACATGGTCTTCAAACAAATTAGCACCTGCTTTCACCTGCTTTCAACAATCGGAATTTCGACTTATGATGAACCTGAAAATGTAGTCTTTAGCAAGTTTTGAGCTGTTGCGTT